CCCTACACGCTATTCTGCCAAGAACCAGGAGAGGGTGCTGTTAAATTTGGCTATCACTTCATTTACCCGGAGAGCAACCACATTCCATAAAATGCCTTTCCCTATTTCTTCCCCCACCACCCTAAGCCCTTAGTATCGGGTGCTTTGTAACTCCTGACTGAAATGGATTTACTGCTCTCATCAGCCAAGATAGGAGTAGTAACACTGATGAAAAGCATCTTGCACTTCGTTATAATAAAGCTCCTAAATTGGAGTGATCAGAAGTCACTGGATAAAGGATGCCCCGCAGTTTGCTTTTAACTGTAGCTCTGCCAGAAGAGCCCTTGGACATTAGCCGTGTTGGATTTAAAACGAGAGGGACTGCCTCTGGGACAGGGACATGAGCGCCATCGCATAAACAGTCATTCTGGTGTGTCGGGGGCAGATATTTGGCAAAACAGGGTGACTTTGTAAGACTTGCTGCTCTGTTTTAGGATGAAAACAGTTATAAACAAGCAACTTCTAAAAGGGGGAATACATCCCTTCGAACCACAGTCACAGAATCAGAGAACAATTTGGTCCTCTCTCTGCATCAGACCTAGTTATTTTTAGGCCAGAAGCAAATGCTACCCACTTAAAATCAATCTGAATCTTCAGTAAAAACATAAGCACGTTCTGAACTGTTATCCAGTGAACCGGAATATTCAAATCTTTTTCTCTCCCTCCCTAGGGTTTTCAAACCCTCCTTTCTCCACATCGGTGGGTTACCAACTTGAAGCAGGCACGATGGAGGAAATGCAATGGGAACAAAGGAACAGGAGATGAAGGAGGTACAAGCAGCATCTTCTGCTGTTCAAGTGACTTTCTGCAATTTGTTCAGCCAACGGCTTACTCCGAAGTGAAACCCACTGTGTCATCCCATCTTCCAAGAGAAAAACATCCTATGTCAGAATGTAGACAACTGTGTTAACAGGGACTGAAAGCAGAAAATGGGATAACTATGGGATATGAAGTGATCTTGGCCCAAACTGCATTCAAAACATAAAACAACTGTCAGCACACGGATTTGGTGTATTTGTAGAATATTTTAATTTTTAGCTGAGAAACACACAATAGGGTAGAGTTTAAGGCATGCAATCAATCAGGCATGAAACTTCTCTTGCTTTTTGTGCTCATACCTTCAGTGTAAGTTCTATGAAAAGGAGCAGATCCTATCTTTAATCTCTACACAAAGCAACTCTGAGTACCCACTTACAGCCTGAGGTTCGATGCAATGTTTACAGTTGTTCCTGGAATGCAGGATTTACTTATAGTGAAACTCAGTTCTTTGTCTGTGCAATTTGTTCTGTGCCACATACAGAAAATGTCATATATTTCACAAATAAGCTTGATCAGTGATAATATCAACAGAAGCAAAATAACCTTTCTCCGCACATACACATGCTGCAATTACAGGTATCTGCTTGCACGGTTTTACTTTGATTGCTCTTTTACTGGAAAATACAGACAATCTAATGGATCGAAAAAAAAGCTTTGACTCCTGCTCCATGCAAGTCTAGTTGTTGCTTTTCTTCTAAAAAACAAACCAAAACCAAACACTGCAAATAAGACAGCCAATGAGGCAATGAACTTTTAAGTGCTAAGGCAAAAGAGCGATTCAAAGATTAAGAATTTTGTGGATTTAGGTATATTATCTGAGAAACATCACAGGCATTGAGATGCTGCTAAAAAATACATTTCCATTTGAGTAACTTTTGGTTGGTAGTAGTGTAAAGCACCTTTGTGTCTACTCCTATGGGGCATTTGCTCTTAACAAGCAAATAATACAGTACCTGACAGGGAGGATATTGCCAAGGAAAATGTTGTTTACGAGCAGCTACAAACAAGTATTTTCTCTCTTTAATGCCCTACCGTTGTCCAGACAGCTTCTGGTTTTATTTTTTTATTATTATTTTAAAACATGATAGTCAAAGACTCTCCTCCCTTATTCATGCATTTTTAAAATCAATATGATTAAAAATGAATCTACTGTGCATCCATGTGATGAATGTGGTAAGAGCTCATTCTACATTTCTCCCACGAAGGTCCCCCTCCTGCATTTTTCTGTATCACTAAGACTTCTGCTGCAATTACTGGGAAGAGACAAACCCCCAACTTCTAAATGTGTTTAAGCTGCCCACTCCCAAGGACTTCAACGGTATCAGAAGTTCCATCCTCTGCTGTGGCAGGCATTAAGTTTGTTATTGCAGTGAATTTTCAAAAGAGGTAATCCTGAGACTACAAGTAGTTGGCAAGTCCAGAACGGGATGGGCCCGTTTCTCAGGCCACATCACAACAAAAGGATTCATGCACGTGCTTACTTCATTCCTATTCAGCAAAACATTGAAATACAAGTTAAGCGTGAGGTCAAATACCACTGAAGGTGCCTGAAACATGATTATGACTTCACTGTTAAATCTTTTGAGAGGATAAAAGGAAAATGAACTCAGTGCATAAGAATTACATCTTAAACATGCATACGGAGGCACTGACCTCTTCTTTGACTTCCTAAAAATGAACAGGCCATTTAGCTCTGGGGGAAGAATCGGAACTCCCATTCCCACTCTGTATCTAACTAGGGAAGAGCCCACGGAAACAATTTTCTTTACACAGTACCTGCGAGAGTGGCTCAGAGTTAAAAGAAATAATCAACTCTACCAAGTGAGTTTACATCCTCAAAAATTACAATCTAGACTTAGTTTTAAAATGTTGATAGCGACAGTAACGTATAAAACATATCAGGACTTTCCAACAAAAAAGAACTGTAAACCGATCAAAACCTAACTGTGCATTTAGATTAGCCAGCACATAAACAAAAGTTCAAGAAAAGCAGTGCAAAAAATGAAAGAGTAAATAATGAGAGAATGTGAAACAGCTAGACTACCCACTGCTAAGCTTGTAAATAGAGCGCATAGCTAATATGCTTTCCCAACTTAAACTGCAATTTAGTAACACTGCAGTGATTTAATTAAAAAATATATGAAGACATGAAAAAATTGTATGCCCAAATGTGCTCTGCAGCTCTGATACAGTCCCAGGACAATACAGAAGGCTCATTGGGAGTGTCTTGCTTTACAACCCTGACATTTCATCTCTGATTGCTCTGGGCAGAAATAAATTCCCCTTCCTCTCAAGCTTGATGTGAGAACAGCTAAACCACAATGTCAACCCCACTACTCCATTGCAGCTATCGAAAGTTACTGTTAGAATATCCTGAAATATTTCTCTGGGGCAAACAAAATTAGGCAGGATGAATTTAGTAGAAAGCCTTCAGTAAAACAAAGCCAGACTTTGTTGGTCAGTCCTTTGCCAAAGTATTCTTGCCACACAGAGCAGGATTGCTCAGGAGACCTAGGAGAGACCAGATGCTTCCCAATACCAGCATCTGACACTGATGTTACGCTGACATGCAGGACATGCCCTGGGCAAGCTTTGCTGAAATCAGTGTGCCTTTTCCCGAAACCAGCGTGCCCAGAATGGGATATTAACTGTCAGGTTTCCTAATGGCTGTTCGGAGTTCTTCAGAGATTCTATCTCAGAGCTTTTGTTCCCAAGGGAATACATGTTATTCCATCCTCTGAAGAAGGTGATTGTCTACTGCAAAAAACAATGGGGGAAATTTAAGAAATACAGACATGAAAATCATGACTAGAGAAGTGTTTTGAATCAGCAATACAGGCAAAGCAAAACAGATACCACCTTGAAAGAACAAAGTTACATAGGAAGGGATTGGATTCTATTGAGCTTAACCCTGAAAGATGCAGTCCCTTCATGATGAAGTTTTCTATGAATGAGTCACCCACAAAGTAACAAAAAATGTATTCCTCAATAGCTTCTCCCAGCGATTCAGGATGTAAAAACGAGTCACAAATAAAAGTTACAAGGCAAAAATAAAAAACCAACCACCCTACCTCCCATTTCTCATCATCGTGATGCCTCACAAAAGAAAATACAAAAATTGAAAGCATTTTAACTTGTGAAATATGAAATGCAATTCATGCTATGGAGGAATATCTCAGCCTTTTTAGCTAGGAAACAGTCTTTCCATGGGTGCTTGGTTATTCGCTATCATGCAAAAACAATTAGTCATTCAAGCAATTAAGAAGGTAAGTATTTCCTAAAAAGGTTTTGAGCTCTTCAAGCCCTAAATGCAACTGCTATAAACCTAGACTGTTCCTGAGTGTAATTTAGTTATTGTATTTGCCTCTCCTGAAGAGATTCATTGTATCATGTGTTGTAAATTCTTGATGCTCTTTTAGCTGCAGTCTGAGCCTCTGGTGAATTCTCCTCTTGCTCCTCAGACTTCTTATGGTTTAGGAATATGTCTGACTTCAAGAAGCGGCTGTAGCTGTCATATTTCATGAGATTGAATATCTGGTAAGGGGGGAAAAATACAAAAAACAATGACTAGATTTTAATGAGAAGGACAGTATATGAATTCAAATGTATTTTTGTTCTGTTAGTACTAAAAAGCATGTCATTAAAACCACTTCAAACTCTCAAAGGGGGCTGCATGTAGCAAACAATATTGTAGGTTCACAGCCACCATTTTGCAATCACGTATTAGTTTAAGAATCAGATTATGGTTTTCACAACAGCCAACTTTGAAAAGCTCATACTGAAAAGCGGGAGGTCACATGCCATGGTCACTAGGTAGGACTTTACAGCTGATGACAAGCCAGGACATTACCTGGTCCCCCCGCAGGAGTGAGGGGTGTCCTGGCAGAGTAGTAGGAAGATACTCAGAGGGATGAAGCAGAGCTGAAGAAAAACAGGCACCTTTTAGGCACCTTTCTGACTGCAGTTACTCTTGAACATTACAGATAGCTCATTACACATGCAGAGTACTGGATAAGTAAGAAAAGCCTCTAAATAATTTACACAAATAATGAAACTGCAAACTGAATCTAGACTGAAACAACTGGTTTAACCAATGTTTCTTAAGCTTATGCCAATCCTCCTGTCCTTTTTGGATTGCTACACAACAGAACGCCAGAGTCTTAGGTTAGACCAGAAATGTTGCAGGTACCTGGCACAAAAAGGTGATCTGGTACAGACGGAATTTGCCAGTTAAAGTGTGGTTTAAAATTGACGATGGATTAAACTTGTGCCATCAGGCTTTTTACTAGCCCCAGATCTGCCCTTACTCCCACAGCCAGTGTGCAGCCAGCACGGCAGCACAAAGTCAGCATCGAGTACAGATTTTCTGTCCCAGGGCTGGAGTTTAGGCTCGTCCCTCAACACAACTGCTTTCTCTTCTATTTATACTCATTTCAGACAAAAAAGCTAGAACTCATTTGGCATTTTCTGAAAACAAAAGGGTTTGGGAGAGGAGCCTGGAATCTGCTCAGGTATTAAGGTCAGGACTATATTTTCCTTGGTCTGGCAACAGAGGAGAAGGAAAAAGGTAAACCTCCAAAGTATAATTGAGGCAAAACCAAAGCCTACATCATGCTCTGCCTATTATTTCACTGGCAGAGCCTCTCTGAGTCATGCTTCATGACCGATTACATTTTATGGTACTCAGAGTAACTAAATTTCCAAGAGGAATTTCTGGATTCTCACCTGCGTGTGTGGCTAACTGGAGCTTTACTGTTATGGGCCTCATTTCTAACTGATAGTACAACCAGGTAATACAACTGTTTGATAGGAAAAGTAAAAAATAAAAAAAATCTCAAACTGCTCTTTCATTTCACATCCTCGAGGAACCTGGACAGACAAAGGCAAACACATCAAACTTGACTGTTCCTGTCTGTGTGTTTGCTGAAATACCCCCCTTGCAAATAAATTACATGAAGCATTTTACTAACCACTGTTTGTTTACATATTTTAAATATTTAAGCGCATGTTTAAAAGAGTGGAAATCTTGCTTTATAAGCTACATATTGGAAGACTAAAACTCCCAAAACACCCTCTCGATGTAGACCCAAATCAATGCAGTTAAGCAAAGTCAAATTACACTTCCTGGTGTTGGCTAACTACAATATAATTAAATTTATCCAACTACCTCAAGGGAAAAAAAGTTGTAAGGAAGACATTGCCTGTTAAAACATCGTAAGTCGGTGTTAAGAACTTAGATGCCTCTTGTTCCTGGTATCATTTAAAGCATGTCCCAGAGAGAAAGACCACTCTAAGATCAAAATCTTCTGGAGTTTGGTCAGCCAAATGCACAGAACAGATTTTACCATCATGTGCAAAAGCAGAATTCTCTTTGTCCCTCCCCTCCTCTTGTTGCCTCCGTGGAGCAGGAACAGTTACCCCGTAAGTATTTTGAAATCTACGGATTTCTCTGAACCTCTCTAACACCACTTCATTCAGGATGGACAACTGCCTCCAAGCTACTTGTTTAAGGCATCGCATGAGCACACCATCACACCCCACAGCTAGCCCCACTTAAATCAGTGGCCTTCTGGAGAACTGGAGTGCTAGTTGCCGGTTATGCTCTAGACCAGACTGTGGCTTTCAAGCTCTGCCTTTTCATACTTCAGACACATGGTGCCAACAGTAGTTAACACTGTTCTTTAGAGAGCAAATTATACCACTCTTCATAACTTTATAAGGATTGAAAACTAGAGAAGACCATAACTCTTCCCGAACTATTATCTAACAGCAATAAACAGAAGCTTCAAGAAGTAGAAACCTGCAACAATACTCTGCATTTGGTTTTAAAAGTTCACAGACTTTCTTCCCACATTAGTGGGATTCTTCTACCACTGCTCTAGCACATTTCCAGTTCGGGTATTACTAATCCCTGGCTGTTCATGTGCATGCTCATTTGTAAAACTGCAAAACATTTTAACTGCAGTAGTCTTTCCAGCTTCGCTCTCATCATCACAGACCCTGAACTGCAGTGCTTAGATTTACCAGAACATTTTCTTTCCCTTCCCCCAAGTCAGAAGTTCTTCCATGAAAAACTTTGCTTCTTCACATGGAAATTGGGGTCAGACATTTCTACTGCTAATGACTTGGAACCTGCTTGGCAGACAGCAGAGCCTTTGCTCCTCAGACCACTTCAACTGACCCTGCCAGTGCCCAACTAACGTATTCAGTACCTGATGTGAAATGGGTTGAAAACATTATTTAAATCAGTATGCTGTTTCTCCACAAAAGGAGCCAAATGGAAAATACAGGTAGTCCTGAGGATGGTACAGAAATTAAAAATAGTACAGACTGCAAGTGCTGGAGAGCTGCAGATAAGAATGACTCACTTCATAACTTACGCTTTAAAATAAGCTAAATATCAAGAAAATTTACCACCAAAGACGTGTCTGGAAAACCTCACCTAATTTCTACCAGACCTCTCAAAATCTACAGGAAAAGGCAAAACAGATACTAAATCCTCCTTTAAGTTTTGTGTGTTACAGAAGAGGAGGCTTTTCAGGAAATTGCATTATATTCATATCAATATAAATACCAAAACAAAGCAAAGTGAAGAATCTTGAGCTCTCAAGGAAACCAGTGGCAACTACGGAAACAAACATCAGCAATGACTCAGCACAAGTGAATACACAGGAAAACGTAGGCACAAAGTTAGTCAGATGGGTGATTCTCAACTACTGGCACAGGAACCCAGGAGAAAACTTCATCCAATTTTCCAGGAAAGTCCTGAACTGGAATCAGCATGGTTGCGCTGAGTCTCTTAACTAATTGGCCCTAGTTAGATGGGGCCAAGACTGCGGGGTATGGTGCATCCACCCGCAGAGCGGCTGCGTTAATATCCCCAATGTGGAAGCAACCCAGCTCCATGCCTACTTATTCAATTCATGCCGCAGGTAGCAGTAGGCAGATTCTCTGCTTTCCCACGCTAGCTTATGCTTAGAAAGCAGAGTCCATTAAAAGCAGACAAAAACTAAAGAAATTCTGTTCTCGAAGAAACTAACTTTACCTGATCCTGGAGCTTCTGAAACATGAGAGGGTGAGGTGTCTCCAAAATGGTCTCGCTCAAACGGGACTGTCCTTCAACATTGACTTGGGAGGAAGCTTTGCTGGACAGGAAGGTCATGTAAATTTCTTTAGCTTTTTCTTGCATCTGCAAAAGGACATATTTATTTAAAGAATTATTTGCTGTGGGAATATTGTCTATATTTGTTAATATTTTATTGGGGCCTGCTCTGGGTCACTTCTTGAAGTTCGTATCTTAAAACCAAAACATAGTCTGAATTAAAAAAAAAGAAAACAAGTAACAAAAAAAAGAAAACAAGTAACAAAAAAAAAGAAAACAAGTAACAAAAAAAAAGAAAACAAGTAACAACCCAACTATACATAGATTATCTTATTTGTGAATATTCATTTGTACTGGAAAAAAAACATCTCTGCAGGCCAACTCCTGCACTGACATTAGTGGAAGCTACCAGTATTCGACATTTAGGTTAAACAGCAGGTTGTGATGATGTTTGAATCTGATAATCCAGTATAGAACTGCTCAGCATCATCAACTAGGCCTTTTCTTCAATATTTAGACGACTATTTTTACTAATAGATAACCAGCATGCACAAGGAACCCAGAGGGGAAAAAGCACTGTGGAAACTTAATCTTACTGCAAGGCAAAACTAAGCAAAGTTAGTGTATAATCCATGCTACTGCTAGATAACCTTGTCATACTACATCCTTTGTAATAACTACATTTTTACCTCAGGGCAGCTCACATGCAACACTGGCTACATGATTTTAAAAAACCCAACAAGTACTTTTTTGGCCAATGGTAAAGATAAGACTCTCAAGAGCCTCTGACAGCTGATAAATAAGGGTAGGTGTGACTTGCATAAAGCAGTTTATTAGTGTTTGCCTTGATTTCAGCAATCCTGTTTCAGTGGTCTTCTCCTGATAAATCAGTAACAGCGATAACATTTTGACCCTACCTTGTATCTTGAAGCTTCAAAGCAGTAAATGAGTGGCCACAGACCCCTGAAATTCAACGCAAGCTCCCCCTTGACCAGAAGGTTGGCTAAGAGAAAGCCAGTGGGGGAGAAGAGAGCCAAGCCAGGCAGAAGGACAGCCTCCCCACTGCAATCTGAATTCTGCACACTTTAAAAAAAAAAAAAAAAAGGCTCGTGCAGGAGCAGGCACTGTACGGTCCCAAGCCATGGGACTCATCAGCGTTCCCCATTGTACATCTAATGAGCGACTGCATCTCCAGACCAGCACCAACTAACGGGCCGTGTCTTTGATGGGAAGTGGGCTCGAAGAAGGAAGCTTTTAAACTCTTGCCCATAAAGGAGTCACAGAATTTCTTTCATGTTTTACAACTAAGAATCAACATTTGGGGATAATTAGAAGAAAAGCTACATGTGTTTGACAATTCACAAGGCCTAAAGAGTTAACTCTCTCACTGCTGAAGGAGACACACATTTTCCAGAACTATTCCTTTTTAAAACAGATTATTCATCTGGCCAGTAAAACATCATGTGTCAGGTGCATTAGGTCACAATGAAGTGTTTGTAACAATTTCCGATCTTTCCATCTTCACAGATCAGGGAGGACTGGGTCAGCCACATCTGTTCTAAATGAGCAATTAATCCAACTGATCAGAGGTGTGACTGCTTTAACTGGCAAAGTTAACACCCTAATACAGACACAGTATAAAATGCACCTTTAGCTATTGTTGCATCAACAAGCAAAAGCGATGACACTGTCAGTCCTCCCCAGATAAATATGGTTGAAATTGGACAGCAGGGTAAAAAAGTTGAGAGGGGCAAAGGACTGAGAAATAATCACCCTCCTACCGATTCAATGGAAGAGTACTTTAAGAAAGGAAAGGCAGAGAAAAAGCAGCACATGCACAAAGGGAAAAGCTGCCATATATGTTCAAAAGTTATCTACTCAAACTGCCAGCAGGTACTTAGCTGCTGGCTAATCAACACACACGTAGCTCCACGTCAGCCACAACACAAGGTGCTGCTTGCCCAAGGGACACAGGAGCAGGCTGGGCACTGCAGAGAAAGAATAGAGGAAGGCTTGAGGGGAAACACGAAACTAGAAGTACTGGGAGGAAGTTTAAAGAACATGGGGGAACAAGAGGATTGTGTGGGAGGTTGGTGAAACGGGGAGGATCTCTGGATTTTGTGAGGGAAGAGTGACAAAGGAAGGAAGTGAAAGCGCTGTGGTAGGGAGAGGGGGGCGTTGGAGAGACACAGGGGACCTGACTTTATAGTAATGGGGAAATATGGAAATGCACGGCTAACTGTTACAGGTTCTGCTGCACACGGAACAATTTTTATGCTACATCTATGCTTCAGTAGTAGAGCAGCGGTTTAACAACAATTCATTAAAAAAAAAAAAAAGTACAGTTAAAGCTGCCTGTATCTTTATACATCCCCCAAATGACAGTCAGAGAGAGCCAGGTTCAGGTGGAGGAGACAGCGATGTTCCCCGTTCAGTGGGTGCATTCTTTGTTCTGTGTCGGCCTGAAAGTAATGCTTCAGCACAGGGGACTCTACTCTGGAATTTAAACAACACTTAAACCGGGATCTTGTTCACAGGTGGCTATTAAAGGATTTCTGGCACTTTTCACTTACATCTGTGTGCTTACCCCAGCATCCGTGCCAAATTCCCATTTGGTGTACAAAGTTCTGTCTACAGAAATCCCCCTCACTATTTCAAGTGGATACAATATTCTTTCCCACTTCCTTTCCTAAGGTCAAATTCAGCTCTCCGGCATGTGTGGTTCCCAAATGAGGTGAATGGGAGTCCCAGATGCTCATCAGAACAGGCTCCAGCAGCTAGCAGCTGTGCAGCATTACCCAGTCCTGCTTAACCACTGCCACATTCCCCGTGGGAAGTCACAGAAGAAACTCTTAAATAGGTGTACTCTGTTCTGAAATTGTTCTCCACAAAACTTCTTGACATGGGTATTTTGGCGGGTTTCAGCAATAGCTGAAAAGATTCCCTGTTGTTTGAAGCATTTATTACAATCTGTAATGTATTTTGAAAGCTCAGTTGCAAGAGAAGAAAAATTTAAACCTTGGGAAGTAGCACAATGGACATGTTGTTTACTTCATTAAGTCACAAATGCAATGGCATATGACTAACTCCAATAAAATATTTAAAGTTAAATTTTATTGACTTATCCTCACCACTCCTATTCCAATAATTAAATATGTGTCTAAGATGAGGACCACATGGGTGGGGTCACTCTACAAGTAGACTTGACCCAATTCCTTCCTCAAGCTTTGCTAAAAATTACATTTCTACTTGAACTTTGATTTTAAAGGAATATTTTTTTTTTATTTTTTTTTTTTAACTACAGAGATGTGTCTTGAGCTGAGGGGAGGAGTTTGTGCTTTCCTGCTGCAAGAAGATAGACTGAATCCAGTCCATCTAAAACCTGCCTAGGCCAATAACGTAGCCTGCTTGCTGCCTAGCTCTGCAGATGCTGAAAACCTTCCCTGCTCCCTGAAACATGCATGCATTTTGTGTTAGCTCACCCAAACAGGAAAACAAACACAAACTCGTGGAGCAGTCTGGTCTGAACTCCCATTTCTGCTTTATCTTGACTAAGCGTTTCCACCACTAGTCTCCAGCCAACACAACAGCCAAGAGCCTGGATTCTCCTTGCCAGTGGTTCACATTCAAGAGGAAGGGGACAGAAAAGATGTATCTGCACAGCATCTTGCAAGATCTGCCTGTGTTGGCTTGATATAAGTCAGCTTCTAGGCAGAGCCCACATGACTGTGGTTAGAGTAACGGCTGAACCAAATTTAGTAAGTCCTGGGGAAAGGCCCAGGATATTTTCTTAGAATGGCAATAATAGTTAGACAGTTTGCAAACAACAGAAAGCAGGAGCAGGGTGAACCTGCATCTCCCTGTGAAGACCAGAAAGGATGTGAGGAAAGGACAGCACATTTACTGAGCCAACCTCCCTTATGGTACACCAGCCTATAGAAAACCAAACACTGCTCCAGGCTGACACAGAAGGGATGACAATAACACTAGGCACAATGGACATTTAACCCACTGACGAAATGATGACTTTTGTGCAAGTTTAAACTGACCAAGAAAAACCCCACACTAACACTCTCACATCAAGTAATGAAAAGTTTCTCTTACACTTTAAAAACAGGGGAAAAAAATCCCATTCGATCTGGGTTAAATTGAAATCAGCTTATCTGACCCAAAGTCTAAGTGTCTATGAACCAGACTCTGTGGTAAACCAGTTTTAATGAGAAGCAGGTTATAAAATAAGTAAAAAGTTGTTTTCAGAATACTTCATTCACATTAGGTAGATACAAAGCGATTTCTGCAAGAGTCACTTTCAGAAGACAAATTCATGCTTCACGCTATCATAAACACTGGAAAGATTTCTATTTTTACTGCTTTTTCTAGCTTTGTAAATTATCTAAACAAAGCCATCCATAAGCAGTAGCTATAAAAATTCACTGTAAGCCTGTGTCATTCTAAAGCACATTTATTCTAGCTGGCTGTAACAGCTTTGGCAGTACTAGTCCAGCTTGACCATACTGCGTAATGATTGGTACTGAATAATTAAGCTAAATGGAACCTAGTTAAATCTCTGTTCATTCATTTGGCAATTCATTCAAGAATTCACTAAGTTACTATCTCTATACATCAGTTTACCATTTCCTGTACTAGCATGTGCAATCCTAAAATAGCTAAAAAGATGGAAATTATTTAGCAATATGATTATTGTCCCATTGAAAAACATGGGAGCTTACAGAAGGATCTTCCACTTTCATTTCCATTGTACAATGCAGTTTGATACTGTCCAAGGGGTATCAAGAAAAGGCTACGTACCTCTTGGCAAGGACACTGTATGACATACAAAGAAAAAAACATCTGCCCTGTACAAAGCAAAGGGTTCTTCCCATTTGGTTGTGGACTGTGCCCAGCATGTCGAACATACCAGACAAAAATGACTTGGGGACAAAAGAGAGGAAATGCTTTGTCACAAACTGACAAGAACGAGATCTGCAGCTTGTGCCAAAGCAGAGCCAGGTCAGTGGGACTGACAGTACCGCGCTCGCCCAGACAGGAGGTGGCTTCCCAGAGAGGCTGCAGCTGAAATTGTCCCTTACAGGCAAGGGGAGAGGAGAACTCCCATCCCCACTCCAGCTACAGATACTGCTGCCATCGTGGTGGCATCTAGCACAGTCACCTCTTTTATCCCGTTTAATTTATTTCTCTTTAGGCCTTGCATCTTACAGAAAAATAGCCTGATTAGCTGTTCTTTTCTGAAGACTATCTGCGCACGTGGACCTTAATCGGGGAGGGATGCAGCTAAACACACAAAGCTGAAACAGTGCTATGACAAAGTCTGCAGTCAAATTGAACATTTTCCTCTCTTGCAAAAATTATTATTTTTGTATATTTGATGGATTTATCAATACCGAAAAATATTCACAGCTGAAACAAGCAAACTGTTTTAAGGGGAATGTTTTTTCAGTGCTAAATAGAGAATATTTACAGAAAGTAGACTCCCCGCTCAAAAATATGTTTTGTTGAAAATCTGGGGGGGGTGGGGGGTGGTGTTTATTGTTGTTGAAAAGCTGCTGGGAAATAGTTTCAGCTGACAATATCTGCCTGACCTTAAGAGAGAATACTGCCGTCCAGACACAGCTCCCTTACGCCTGCACTTTATAACACCCCTAGTAGCCCAGTTCCCCCATCTGATTCCTACTCCCTGACATTTCTGAGGTTACTCAAAACTTACTGGAGGTGGCTTGTTGAAAAATTTCCAGTAGAATATTTTCTACTAGAAGAATATAGCTTTCATGAAAATGAAAGTACTCTGCAGGTATACATCAATTTGAATAAATATTTAAACAAAAAAAGTATAAATGGATCCTCAATTTCTTTTGTTTTGTAACTTGTAATTTGATAAGGCAAAACTTTTATTTTTGGTCTTGTAAAACATTTTGTTTGCACTGTTTGTTATTTTTATGTTCCACTAAAATACTATAATGGTGTATATTTTCATGTAATAGCCGCTATACTTTTTAAAAAAGTCCTGAATGAAACATCTTCGTATTTTCAAGCAAGATGATGCAACATCACTGAATTAAACCTTTTGCTATTCCCAAGCAACAGCAAAAAGTTCAGAGTTTTCAAAACATGGGAAACTTGACAATTTCAGCATTTTGTTTTGATTTGAAATAGAACCAGCTTTGTTTCCAAACAATTCCACCACCCTGATTTCAGTGCAATTCCTTCAAATATTTGCACTCGCATGAAGCACGACATACAACAGAAACATTCGAGTTCCAGCTCTGCTACAGAAACTTTGTTGACAAGTAAAATGTATTTAGGAAACATACCTGTTTTTTCCCCTGTGTTTTCTTAAATTCTTCACACGCTAGCCAGAACAAAACGTTTTCCTCACTAAATTCCTTCTTTAAAAATTCCTAGGGAAAAGCAAAGCAAACAAACAAACATTAGTATCCAATTTCTCAATTGTTTTTCTCTCTTCCTACTCTAGCTATTAAAACTAGAAGCTGCCTTTGGGTAGCTCCGCCATGGTAAGAGTTTACATAATACCGCGTAACACAACCACTGTTTTAGTGCATCTGCACGCTACCAAAACACGAATGACCAATCATATATTCAGCACTTTGAAAGCACATTCCAGGAGAATGATGAGCTGCATTTAATCTCAGAGCGTATCAGTAACTAACAAGAAGAGTTTCTTCAGTCTCCCTTAAATTACTCGAGCAATTTTACAGTCATTATTCAAAGGGAAATCCAAAAATACATGAATTCATTATCAGGTGATTATAATGAACTATTTTAATGAGTCACAGATCACTTGAGATTCTCATCTAGTATCTTTCTGATTTTTTTAATGAGTAAAATCTCTACAAATAAAAATGTTTCTAAACATGGTCATCAGTGGCAATAAATTCACTTAAGTAAACTAAAGCAGAAGACGTATTTGTGTTCTCTAGACAGTGTTTAAACAAAGGACATTTCTCCAAAAGTGAGGCATAGTTTAAAATGGGGAAAAAATGTACGTTAAATTTCTTTAGAAAAAATAATGACTGAAATATTTATAGCTCTGAGATAATCAGTTTTCACTTTCCAGTGTTAGAAAATACAGACTAAGTAACACCAAAAATTAAACAGTATCAAGATTTTTTTTTTTTTAAGAATTCTAAATCACAGTGTTTTGTAATTCTAGTTTACATCACTTTTCAAACCAGTCTGGCAGGAAATCATTTCATCCCAGGGCATTTTTTTCAGCAATTAATAGGGCAAAACCACAGTGAAGTAGGTAGTTCCTATTCTTACAGCTAATATGGCAAGAAGGCCTTAAAAAAACCAACTTGCCACCCTCACCTAAGTAAGCCTCAAGCATACATTTTGAGCTGTACAAGCCCACACTTCGTCGTAAACTTAAAGAGAATTCTTTTCAGTATAACTGCTACAACACAGAGTAAGAGCCACACAGAGTTATCAGGCTCAAGAGCTGTTAGTGGTTACTCATTGCTTAAGTAAGGACAACATATGAGAATACAGAGCACAGGATCAGTCCTCAGTAATAAATAATGCTTGGCCAGAGAGATCAGTGGCTCAAGGACTGTAGTTTATCCAACAGTAACTTGTTAATCCTTGCAACTGCTGATAGATCCGATTAGAAAGATGCAACCAGCAGTAGTCCATATGCCTTAGGACAGCAAGCTGCAGCGGGCAGAAGGCACCACCTCAGAAGCTCAGTAAATGCCACAGCTCCAACTCTGCCACCTCTGCTCAGGGTACGTAGCTGGAAGGTTGCATGCCTATGTTCTTACAGCACTTGCATAGCTGCACCATTTATGCTGAGACTCATTCGCTTTAAATCCTAATTTTGGTTTATATAAATATCCATAATTAATATAGCAACCCTAAATCGTTTCACTCCTTCTGGATCTTCAAGGAGGTTCTCCAGTGATGTAGCCCATTTTGAGGTTCCTTTCAAGGTTTGGTGGCTGCTGCTTGGGTGACCCTCGCTGTCATTTATCTCTGGAAAAAATTGAGAAAACCACCATCTTCGTTAGAAGCGACGAATGAATGTCACATGCATTTCTTCCCCATTGCCCTCTGCACCCTCGGATTACAGCTGCACTCTTTAAAGGGAACACCATAAACTTGAAAATAAACACACACACATATTTGAATTCTGCTTTGCCTCTAAGGAGGTAAAAATGCCTTGCAGTTAGATAATTCATGAGCATGGAAGTAGGCACCATCACTGTTTTATAGGAGTTCAAGCACCTTTTGCATGTGGAACACAATGACCGCAGCCTGTGTAGTAAAATGACCATTTGCCTTTCGTTCTGGCACTGTCAACGACATTGGCTTCTACAACACAAATCCTGGTCAGTCACACAGATGAAATTTATTTTTTAAGAAAAGAATCATCACTGAAGGTTGGGAAAAGGCAAAGAGAGAAAGAAAAATTATGCTTTGTTTAGCAGCAGAACAAGTCCAATGTGTTAACCCAGTCTAACGGGAGAAAAGACAGCTGGCAGAGGAGCCTCATTCCAGCTGACTCAACCTGCTATCGGGCAAGTGGTATTTGGGTGTTTTTTCTGTTTGTTTTCAAGTCCACTGAAATTCAGCTGCCATAAGGTGTACTGAACTGTGGCCACATCTTATCTGCCAGCCAGCCTTCTCACAGATAGGAGAGATGCTGTACGTTCTTGAATTTTTCTATCCCAGGGACAAGTATGCTACATCCAAGGCTGGTGATGCCAAAAAAAAAAAAAAAAAAAAAAAAAAGTTTTCTGGCTACCCATCACAAAACCTATTACTTGGGAAGACTTCAGGAATGTTACTGCTGATCTGAAAAACTCTACAACAGACATAGAGCACTTGCTTGGCCTCCTTTCCTCTCACACCCAAAATTCCCAGGAGTGCAGGCCATGAGAAATCAGGCTAAGAGCTCCTCTTCAGGTTACTACACACTGCAAAGGTGCACAAAACTCTTACTGTAATCCATACAGTTTCAATTGATTTCTATAACCCTTTCATTTCTCCCTACCAACTGATTGGAAATATGGATGGTAGTAACTTCTGCTTACGCTCTGTTAAAAAGCCCTTCCTCCACCATGAAACTAAACCTCAGCAAGTATCTCAAAAAACTATCTATGCAGAGCTATACTATCAGATGCCCTTTTCAGCTGGTAGCTAGAATGATAAATGCTAAGGTTAAAGCCCTACAAAATACTGGCACGACAGCAAAGCCAACTGAGTTTTGGTTGGTAGGGACCTGTAGAGTCTATTTGTTTTTCTAACAGTGAGACGGACCACTGTTTTAAATGAATGAGTATCTCCTTTTCGCGCTTGGTAGGAGTGTTCCTTTTATACAGGAGAATTACAAAGCTGGAAAAGAGGTAAACTTTCTGGAGCCGTGGATTCCATACCCATTGCCTAATACTGAGAGCTCTACACTCATGCCCCGAGTAAATACAGACGTAAAAGAAAGGAATGCATCTAAAATGATCGAGCAAATAGTCACTGTGGGCTACATTTTTCACATGTACATCCTGTCTCCCCTTTGCCCATCCTGCTCTGATGCACCAACCTGATATTTCTTACGCAATGAACGCATGACGCTGTGCCTGCACAAAACCTTCCGGGATCCAAGATTACAACCAATTTGGGTAAAGATTGTGACAGATTGGTCTCCAAAGCAGCAAGGATACCTACAGCTCTGTATAGGAAAAGTAATCCCTCCCCAACACACAGTCTGCTAGTTAAAGGTCAAGAACCCGAACCTGAGGACTGTCTCCAAACCACTACTGCAGACTTCACACGTGACACAAGAGTACAGCGACTTAACTGCGCCTCACTTTCCCCTCCCCTCATGCAAAAGGATGTGGTTCTTGATTATCACTTGCAAAATTTATTTTAGGAACGTGACTCAAGGTATCTGGGCATCTAATCTCAGTAAAATCTGTGAGATTTAAGTGGGAATAGCCAAGTACGTTGGAGCAGAACACAATTGCTTCTGAGGAGCTTGAATCTTTTGTTATGATCACTCTCACCTGCAAACAGGGTGGCAGCTCTGTGTGTGCAGCTGCTAATGGCCTGAAGAACGAGGCCATTCTCTTATTTAATATACGAATTAGCACAGAACATATGAGAGTAAGATTTTATTTCTAGTGTTTCTTTTCCAGCCAAATTTTAAGTGGACTTTAATGATTACTTTAAAAAGCATGTATTTCAATAAGCCAATGCAATACGGGGTGGACCCAGCACTATGAGAACCTAGAAAAAGTTTCTGGTGAGCAGGCAAAGGCCAGAACAAGTGCTTCCACTTCACACTGATCTGTTTCCCCTCAGCTGCTTTCACGGGTCTCATTTTGTCTGTGTCCTCCCTGACTACCATTTGCCCCAGCTTCCTCTCACTTCCAGCCTACTCAGCACAACCCAACTCCATCCTCCTGCTCTCTTTATCACCCTCCAAACCCTGGACTCTCCTATGACCTTGTTCCCCTTCTACCTCCTCCTCCAGCCTTACAGCAAATTTTGGTTTTGACAGGAGGACCCGCACAACTTCTTCCTAACATCCATTCCGCTGAGCCTCGTTGTACAGGACTCTGTTACTCAGTTTGTTTCCTTTTAACCAGCTCCCACAGCCCCCAAAGTACCGTGGCGCTGAGATGACGCTTGCCTGCCCGCTGCTCACACAATGCAACCCTTTCATTTACCCCTTGCCTCACTTATTCAAGCTGGGAGTTCCCCAGAGCAGCGGCTATGGCATGTCGCAGGTGCAGGC